GACCGGAGGCCGTATTTCTACAAAGAGTACGTTTATAGTTTACGTACTGCTTAAGAGTATGTTTATAACATAGAGTCTAATGTGGAGGCCCGGCTAATACACATGTGGCCCTTTGGTCGTACGGCAACAAGAATTTTGCAAGAAAAAAAGTATTTATTTGCTGCCGACAACCGTGTATATGTTATTTTACAAGTGAACGAGTATGACATGTGTACCCTTTTTAACTCGGGGGCTAGCCGCTAAGTCATAACTCAGGCATTTGCAGCTAAAGCACAGCTATCTGTCAAATCACTGGCTAAGGATAGTTACATTTATTTGACGGACAAAGCCTTCCGGACTGCACGCATGGGTGGTCCATTACGGGTCCGCTACTACTGAGGGTTGTACATTTGAACTTATAAACTTACCAGATAACATTGATATTATTATTGGTAGTTATATTATGGGAGAGCTGGGATTAGGCTTATAGCCGAGCCAGCCATCACTATATTGAAGCTTATAGATATTAGACATACAGTTTAATTATTTGCGGGTGACTAAGGGAAACACTACTAGCTAATACGGTGTAGAACCGACACAGGGTTATTTGAGATTTTAAGACGACATATTCCGATCGTATAAAGGGTTCAAAGCAGGTGAATCTACAGCTTGTCGAAGTTGTAGTTGCTAAGCCACCAGCAGAGAATTCAATACTAAGGTTGGTGACAAGCCTTTACGTGGATCTTACAAATACGTCGGTATCTGTCGGCATCGCAGCTGAGGGATATATAACGCACATGACGGACAACACCAGTTTCAAAAATAACACAAGTTTGTAGTTACGCTCCCACTGCACTCATATGTCCTGGTTGTTATTGCCGTGTCCTTTTGTTTTTCAAACAAAATCAGCGTACCCCATACTGTCGAACATACTTGCCGTTAATATTTGTCTTCGGGCTGATTCGCTGTTTTATGGAATCCAATTTTCATAATATTGAAAAATAGAACCAGTCGGATAGTATGCTGCGGAAACCTGACAGCGCTCGTATACGACCAGAGCCCCCAGTACCTGACACGTCCTGTTTACCAACCACTCAGGGACACAGGTATCACTACTGGAGAGATCTCACGTCTCTCATCAATAATCTTCAACTCGAGGAAGCTCAATGATGCCCAGCTCAACTACGATGTACCTTCATGTGAGATACTAATGATCAGGTCGACAATACGGAAGACAGGATTCATGTGACACTCGTCCTTCCGAGATTGAATGGTCCTATTAGACTAAAAGTTACTCGAGAATATTGCGACCAACCCGGCACCCTATTTACACTAGCGAAACAGCGGTGGATGCGTAGGATTGAGGATATCGATGGGAATACGTGTTTGTCTACATATTTGGTCTACAACAAAAATAATAGAGTTGAAGACGTTGGAGTACTGTGATATAAAGGAGAATGTCAAAAGTTTATATGACTTATATCATACAGAACAGTCGATTCGACAACTTTATATTCTATAATTAGTAGACGATCTATTGAGCACCTCTTACTCTTCACTAGTTTTTGATTTAAATGATATTATTGGTAATAATAACATGAAGAGTAAACAGCACTGCGACTAAAGCAGTAAAGCACCGATGACCGTCAACCGAGCTTGAATCCGTCACACAAGTCTGAACTTCATTTATTTGTTTCTTTTATTTTTCAAAAAGGCGTAAGTCGAAAGAGAGTCAACCAGAGCAAGTTTTAAAAGGAACCAGTTAATGGCATTAATATTATTATTCCACCCAAGCACTTCCTGACTTCTAAGCTTCCAACTTATCATGGCGAAATCTCCAAGTTCGATGTGTATTTTATAGAGTAAATACTTTGATGTTTTAAAATGTTTTTACAGCCCTTCGGCTTCTTTTAATAAAAAAGTTCTCAAGTTCTCGGGCTTCTGGAGCCTTTTGCTCGCACTTCGCAAGTTCGCAGTGAGAGTCAACTCTCGACTCTTGACTAAAAAACAAATATTTGTATGTACATACATATGTATAAAAGAACAAAAAAGACAACCACCACTGACCACTGTGGCACTGGGACCTCAGACCTGAGTCTTCAAAACTTCGACCCCACTGTGTTTTTGGGTTTTTTATTTATATATTTTTTTTTGAGAGAGCTTGTTCATAGCCTACTAAATAAAACAGCTTGTTTTTTTCTGTTTCGTTTCTGTTTTGATTTGTTTGTTTTGTTTAAAACAAAAAAAGTAAATATTTTTATATCTATATAACTATATATACATTATAAATACATTCCAAATAGTATAAAAAAAATAAACTAAAAAGTATAAAGTATATTAAAAACAAAAATTTAAATCTATGTATAGTTAGTGAGTAACATATACATCAAATACGAGTGAAAGTGAGCAACTTTTTAAAGAAAAGCCTGGAATGTTTTAAAATAGAGTACGCTTTTACATGTTTTTTAAAAACAAAACAAGCAATTGTAGACGTAGTTTATATATGAACAATTACGCAGATGACTATATATATAGGGTGGTTGGCTAAGCAATGCGGCAGTCACGGATCACTTCTATAATTACTACACTAGTAAACTACAGGAAGTAGCAATATACACAAATATAATATGCAGCTTAGAGCAACAGTAGTAGCGTCACTAGCAGCATATGTGGCCGGCGCTGATCTTACAGCTAGTCAAGGTGACTTCCAGCAGGTGTTCGCCAGTGCTGCAGGTGGTGATATTATAACTCTGGAGGCCGGAGAATATGCTATCAGTGAACCCATAATTTTGGACAAGAAACTTACTATAAAGGGTGATGGAGCTCTCTTTGTCGTAGCTGATCTTGCTGCCCCAGTGTTTGCTTTAGGAAACATGGAGGGATACAGTTCCACATTGGATGGCGTGTCAGTAGGTACGCCGGGGGCTGAGGCTTGTAACCTTGCCGAGCCCTACGCCCTGCAGGCCAATTTCAGTATCGAGATCACAGGGGCTACTATAGCTAACAACAAGGTCAATCTTAAGACTGATGTCGGAGTTTGGCACAACGAGCGAAAGTTGAATGACTTCTACTTTGCAGATTGTCACTACGCAGTGGATCATCCGGCAAAGATGTCTGGTGGTGTATACAAACTCTTGGGTAACTGTCGCTCACAGCTAGATTTCAGTGTGGACTTCGACAAACTGGGTGGAAGTGATGGATGTGGAACAACCATTGAAGAATTTGCTACCTTCACCTCATACCGAGCACAGGTGGAGGCACAATGGGATGAGTATGTCGAGAAGGTTGATGATGCTAATGACCTCCGCCTACCAGTAACGCGTGAAGGTAACGCTGTGACGAATTTACTAGTACAAATTGACACTGTACGTAACGTTGCCGCTACAATCAACGCTCAGTATGCTTCAGCAGAGATTGAAGCAGCTATTAACTTAGTCGATGTAGGATACTACGACGGGTGGAATCATTCTAAAATCCGTCTGGAGATCCACTTGCCCGCTCCATACACTATAAGCAACACTCAAGGTGTTGTCGGTCGAGTAGAGGAGAGTTTCGAGGCCGCTGTAGGTGCGGTCTCACCTTATGTAGTGGACGAAGCCTGCAATGGGCAGGCAATCGGTGATGATTGTATTCAAAATGTCGAATTCGATATCGTCGCCTGCGATTTGACTGGCGAATACTCACTGAATGAACTTATGGTCGCTTGTCAAGAGACAGATGAGAACGGCAACCTCGCAGAGTGCCCCAACATCGAATCATCGCCAGCCACAGTCATTTTCTTCATCGACACGAATAACTTCTGCGAGGTAGAGGAGTTTGAGCTAGATGCTCTATTCGATTTATCGATTGCAGTTTACGATTCCGATGCCTACGACCGTGAAGAATCCATCTTCGACCTTGGATCTATGTCATACTGGCAGATTACCGTCGATACTTCCGCCAGTGGTGTGTCTCTGTATAACGCAGAGGTCACCTACGCTGAACGTACTACTGACGGCGATTGTTCAGCATTCGGAGATTACCTCGGTGATGTCTCTGGTGGGAACCCCGATTTCACACAGACCTATGATCCTATCGCACAGACCATCTCCATGCCGCATCAGGTTACAGCACAAATGGCGTGTGCCACATCGGATCGTACTGGAAATGCAATCACCATGAACTACACAGTGCTTGTTGACTATGATGATGGATCTGCACGTCGTCGTCGTTCACTTGACGGTATGAATACGCGCGAAGCCGGCGAGGTTGCGGTAGACAAAGAAGCCGGAGTACGCTATACAGAAGAGGATCTAGCTCAAAACGCCGCTGCGGGCACTGGTACTGCAGCAGGTGCATCCACTACAGCCGAAGAGGAAGACAACCATATGCTTGTTATCGGTGGGGCTATCGCCGCAGCACTAGTACTGTGTTGTTGTTGCTGCTGCTTTATTGTGGCTGCCGTTGTGCTTTTGCGCAGACGAAAAGCAAATAGGGGTCACGAGCAGTTTATCATCGCAAATCAATCTGCAGCAGGTTTCCCAGATGGTGCTTCGGCTATGAGCTTCCACACTTAAGTTGGCAGGGTCTGATGCTAACAATACAACTTAGAAATTTCTAAATTAGGTTCTATCCCTAAAATAGATGCACTTATAAAATAGCTCTCAATAAATTAAACAATAAAAGCTTTAATTATAAAATGTTTACAGCTGAGACGTCGATTTATTCCCATTTCAAGGTAATTGGTATGCCCAAACTAGCAACGTGTATGCCACACTGCATCTAAAGAAATTGTCAATACATGATTCTTAATAACCCAGGTGAAACGACTAAAATATTTTGTTTGCTCACGCCAACTGCCTTCTATAAGATTAGGTATGATTTATTGCGCCGAGGTCAATAATTGTCCAGCCATTCGACACGGATCACTAGTCTATGGCACCCATAGAAGGTGTGATGGGTAAGCCCGAGTTAAGGTCAAATTGCGATCTTTTACATCTGACACTTAAGTGAATATACAGGCGTATATATCTTTTGCTGGTTTGCGGCTCACATAGACGCCTAAGGCGTGCAGAAACAGGAAATAGCTTCGTTAATATGAAATGTTGTATTTACTACTATATAACTAACAGAAGGTGACATGTTCCTCATTGTTATAAATAGAAACTGAAATCATAGCCTACTACTAATAAATTGCCAAGAAGATTTAACACAAAGCCAATCTACATGACCCCTCTGTTTCTCTCTACTAGAGAAGAGGATGAGCGGAATAGCTATCTTGATGGCGGACGTGTCCGTACAAGCTCTCTCTCTCTCTCACTCCCTCGAGTGAGTGGGACATGACATATTTATGCTGAAATTGTGATTTTTTTGAATATGTCAGGAGCGAGCGCAGCGGGCGACTTTTGATTAATTGAAAAGGGGAAAAGGAGAAGAATGAAGGGTCTTTCGGAAGGCGTAGTTCAAATACTCTAAACCATAAACCCTCTAGACTCTTTACCAAAACACTTGCTATCCTCTCATAACTGTAAACCCATAGCCTTCTAAATTGAAATGTAAACACAAGATTCACTTGTGTTTTTAGCACGATCCATCTTAATACTCAAGCATGCCCTCTCACGCATTAGTATATTTACATTCATCGACGTCGCTAAAGATGCTCATCAATTAATACTAAGACTTCCATACGTGAACTTACAATTTTTAGTTGGAGAAAATCAATAAAAAACTATAAAAACAATAC